GAGGGAGGAAGACAGGGAGGGAGGGAGGAAGACAGGGAGGAAGACAGGGAGGGAGGGAGAGACTGCAAGAAGAGAAAATATGAATCCTTTATGAAAAAATATTGGAAGACAGGTTAATCTCCCAACAGAACGAATGATTCCTGGGTGTAAGAAAAGAGGATGTGGTAACTGCTTGCAACAGAGTGGAAATAATTATGGTAACAGAATGCCAGAGAAGTATGTGGAGTTACAATGATGGGAAGTATAAAAAATTATGTTTGGTGGAAAGATAAAGTGAAACAGGCTAGAGGTGAGAAAAAAATGCAAATAAAAGTATCTTGTGAGAAAGAACTAAAGATATTCTAAATTGTGCATTAAAAAATTGCAAAAAAAGTAAACTCAGAAAGGAACAGTTAAAATTTTAAAAGGCAGAAAAAGTGCAGAGCACTTTTTATAGAAATCAACAGTCAGGGAATGGGTGAAAAGGACTCCACTTTTAGTATACAAATTTGAGTAGAAAGGTGTAGAAACCTGAAGTGAATGTTTGTGCATATTTGTTGACCATAGAAAGTGGAAAATGGCAAGTTGCTAGACATTCTGAAAACTATTGGACTGGATGTGTTATTGTGCATTATTATGAATTTATAATGCAAGCAAAGCACAGTTGTTAAACTAGAAACTAAAACAACTAAAGAAGTTCAGATATTATTTGGAGTGCAACAAGGGTTTACTGTCTATTATTACCTAGTTATTTAATATGTACTCTGAAGCTATTTTGAGAGTCTTTAAAAGAATATTGGGAAAGAATAAACATCAATGGACTAATAACAAAACAACTTATGCCATGGAGATTATACTGTTCCATTGGCAAATAACAGGCAAGGTTTACAAACTTTACTTGATCAAGTATATCAGTGGAGCAAAACTTCTGGGCTAAGTATAAATCAGAAGAAAACAAAAATAGTATTTATCACTGAATAATCAAATCCCAAACTATTATCCCAAAAGGAAATATAATGCAGGAAGTGCAACAATATAAATAGCTGGGCTGTATTTGGAGGGATAGATGGGATCATCGTATGGAAATAGGAGTAGGACTCAACAGGCAAGAGTAGTGTTTTGAAAACTATATCAGGCCTTAAGATTGGTGCGTGGTTGACATACTGCATACTGTTATTCATTTGTTTAAAAGATGTATAAGGCCACCCATCTTATGACATCCAACTCTGGGCAGCTAACAACAGTAATCAGAACACAACAATAAAAACAATACAACACAAAATCAAGAAAAACCAAGCACCCAATCCAAGAATTACACCCATTCATCTGTTCAATCCCCCTAGGCTCCAACCTTGCTATCCCAGGGCCTAGGGGAAAAGCCAGTTCTTCATGTTAAAGGGTGGGGGCTGCTACAGGGAAGGCATGATTCCTAGGTCCTGCTAGATGGCCACATTTGAGGGAAGGGATCTGGACCATACAAACTGTATCTGATCTAGTGAACAGATACCCTCAGGGCGTGGCGGTCCTGCAAATAACCG